AACGTACCGACAACCGATGCAAAATAAGTCACAATGCGTTTCCTGGAACTTTTAAAATGCAAAGATGCAAACGTTTCTATAACGTGCACGAAAGGCATGTAGTCAATGCATAGTTTTATTGATTTGAAAAACGTTCATGATGCAGAATAAGGGGAAATAATAATATTGCGGCCTACCTTGTCTCACGCGAGTTGCGCGGGTCAGTCGTGTTAAAGATTGAAAGTCTCGCGGCTGCCCTCTGTGGGTCGGACCCACACCTGCAACCGGAAGTTAAGACCCGCTCATGTTGACGGGTTTATGCTACTACTATTTAAACACCGAGGTGCAAATGTTGGATCTCGGGATAAGGATACGTTTGTAATGATGAGTTATATGTTAAGCGCTCCATTTGAGTGAATCAATCATATTAGCCGAGTTTGCTGAGATCATAGGCACATATAAAGGCGAGGATGTTGTTCGTTTTGCACTTGGAACAATCCGAAATGGGAAGTGACGTAAAAGTTACATCTGGGAAATGTAGTGTTAAAGACCGACCCGCTTACTTGTGACTACAAACATTATATCAGGAATCAGGAATCATGAAACATTTATTGCCAAAATATGTCAAGCATACAAGGAATTTGTCTTGGCGGTTAGTGCGTGACAGTAGACAGTGTAACATTAGACAACAAGACGGCAGTGCACAAGTAATAAAATAAAATGAAATGCTAATGCAATGGGTTAGTAGAATAAGGCTATGGGTTAGTATAAAACAAGAGAATAAAGTTAAAGTTAAAAATGTATTTAGAAGAAAAGAAGTATTTAAAAAGTTTAAAAATGTTAAACATAAAGTGCACTATCGAACAAGTGACAAATATATCTTATCAGATTAAGTAGGAAATGAATGAAACGATGATTTTGGTGAAGTATAATTATTAAAAAACATTATTCTGAACCAGACCATTCTACACAACACTTATAGTTGGTAAGTAGGCCTAAGTATTATGCTAATACTTGCACACCTTTTACTTTAATAATTCAGGCATCTTAACACTTTGTGTCCGTGGTTGAAAAAGTTTTACTTATGCAAAAGTAGAAAAAATATTGTGTAACTGCAGTTTTGTAACTGTACTACAATCATTAGAAAGCTTTGGTTAAATTACAATTTCATGTAATATTTCCTTTTTTAAATTGCTATTACTTTGAGGTTTAGATAAAAAAAAACGTATGGAATAAAAACGATGTTCAGGTTTTTAAAAGGAGCAACGTATAATTTAATGTATCACAAAGAAATTTACAGAGAATATAACCAGCAGAGTAATCCAATGTGAACATTATTCTTGATTGAGGTCTTATAATAATTAGTTTTTAAAAAGTTTTTAGTTTTTATCTTTTTATTGACTGCGTTCCTTAATTCAATTCAATTCATTTTATTTTGTATAGCCCATAATCGCAAATTACAAATTTGCCTCAGAGGGCTTTACAGTCTGTACACATACGACATCCTCTGCCCCGAAACCCTCCATCGGCACAGGAAAAACTCCCCAAAACACGAAAAAACCCTTACAAGAGGGAAAAAAGGGAAGAAACCTTAGGGAGAACGTCAGAGGAGGGATCCCACTCCCGGGATGGACAGACTACAATGGATTCCATGTGTACAGAATGAACAATGTATAATACATGCAATTCCTATGACAGAAATGATTCAAGTAATTGTGAGTAGTAAGCCAGGCGCACAGCAGGACCGCTGCAGGGGCAACCACCATCAGATAGAACCACCATCTACAGAAGCCTGTGGGGAGGGAGAGCACAGAGACTTTAGGACAGGGTAATGTTGGTTTATGAGTACAGTAATATGATTAATATCTAAAATAATAATGAGGATGATGATGATGGCCGCAGCAGGCGTCAGCATGGCCACGGTAGGTGTCAGGACCAGGGTCCCGAAGGAACCACGATCTACGGAGACCTGATAGGGGAGAAAGCACAAAAAAACTCCCGGAAAGAAGCTGAATTAGTCATGTACATTAATAAAACTTGAATTATGGTAGAACGAGAGCGTGAGAGAGGAGCTCGGTGTGTCCTAAGAATTCCCCCGGCATTCTAAGCCTATAGCAGCTTAACTAAGGGCTGACTAACCTGAGCCAGCCCTAACTATAGGCAGAATCAAAGAGTAACCCAGCATCTATGGAGCGCAGTTGCCTTGTAGGGCAATAAGGTGTTACAAGCTCTTTAAGATACAACGATGCCTCACCAGCAAGTGCCTTGTAGGTGAGGAGAAGTACCTTAAAATCTATTCTTGATTTAACAGGGAGCCAGTGCAGAGAAGTTAATACAGGAGTGATATGATCCCTTTTCTTAGTTCTTGTTAATACACGTGCTGCAGCATTCTGAATCAACTGGAGAGGCTTAAGAGATTTACAAGAGCAGCCTGATAACAAAGAATTACAGTAGTCCAGTCTGGAAGTGACAAACGCATGAACTAATTTTTCTGCATCACTTTGAGACAGGAAGTTCCTGATTTTTGATATGTTACGTAGATGAAAATAGGCAGTCCTTGAAGTCTTCTTTATATGCGAGTTGAAGGTCATATCCTGGTCGAAGAGAACTCCCAGATTCCTGACGGTGCTGCTGGGTACCAGAGCAATTCCATCCATAAAAACTGTAACACGTGACAGCTGGCTTCAAAGGCGCTCTGGGCCTATCAGGATAACTTCCGTTTTTTCTGAGTTTAGCATCAGGAAGTTGCCGGTCATCCAAGTTTTGATGTCTCCAAGACATTCTTAACTGTTTGTAAATCTCCTCGCTTTATGTTTGGATGTTTTGATGGTTTTATGTGAAGCACTTTGAATTGCCTTGTTGTTAAAATGTGCTGTACAAATAGAATTGTCTTACCTAATGAAAAAAGATGGTGCAGGATGAACCTATATACAATTAAGTAACTTCACCCTTTTATAACAAACTCAACAGTGCTTTCATGCACAAAGATAAAATAAAAAAGTCCAACTAAAAAAGACTCAAATTATTTAACAAGTATTAATTATGAAGGAACTGTGGATGCTTTTTGTTCCTGAGTTCTACTTGACAAGGCTACTCGGTCAAGCTCAATGTCCTGTGTGTCTCTCTGTTTAGAGAAAGGAGGGATTTTACTGCTCACGTTGCATGTAAGTACACGTTGCTGCTGGGAGAGGCTTACCTCCGTGAATACATTCTTTTTACCATTAGCATCCATTCCAAAAACCTTTAAAAATAGTTATTTAATAATCAATACAATATAAGTTTACATTCGTAAAATTAACTATATTCAATAGGCTATTCAATTTCATCATCCTAAAAACCCCAAACCCTACTATCAGAACAGACAAACCCCTTCGCCCAGACTATAAATGAATCACACATGCCGAGACCTGCCACCAACTGAAAACGGGGCCTTGGCCCGCGGAGCCCCAGAAAAGCCTGTGACCCGCATCATGCATCATGAGTCGCCAGACCCATGATTTCAAGGCCCATACCTGAAGAACCTCAAGGACGAAGGCCGGGACAATCAGGCTCCTCAGTGCAAACTGAAATGGCAGACAGGCAGTTAAATGTGTTATTAGTCTGCTTTTTACCTTAATGGCAGTAGTACAATTATGCAACTGTCATGTAATTGTGACTTTATTTTACAAAATCAGTTTTGTTGAGTATATTAGACAGTTATCTGGTTAAGGGCAACTGTCGTGTTCTTTACTCTGGAATACCTGGATGTGGTGCACTTGGCTGAGATTGGACTTCATGTAAAGACTAAGCGCATGCCCAATGTTCAACTGCATGAGGGCCTGAAAGTCTATTGTTGGAGAATTCATTGATCAGCACACTGTGAGTCTCTCAGGAACTGGGCGTGCAACCTTTTTTTGGAACCCTGTGACCTTAGTTACTAGTTATTAGTCCACCGTGGCATTGTGTTTTTACAGCTGGAACCCGCATGTTCTTTAGTTGATCAATTTTTCATCTATGACCTCAAAGTGATGCAGACGAAGCCAGAAGAGTGCCGCAGTCTCTTTTATATTTAGTAGGCAGTATTGCTTTGAGTGTTTCCTAGTTGTAATGCATAGTATTTCCATAATTTCCTTTCTGCTTCGTTCTGAGGAATGTCATTGAGTATTACTATGTTTGAACTGTAGGTGGACTCAGATTACATCAGGACCCCTCTGGCCGCGGAGTTGAGTGTTCGTGGTTCAGGTAAGCAAGTGAAGGATTCAAAGATCTTGGAGCATTTTCTCCTAGAACCTGAAGGTATGTTCAACCATTCATTTAAAATAATTGTTTGTGATTGAAAGTTTAGATTTCCAACCCTAATTCCATACCATATTTAATCACGGGGTTGTGGCGCAGGGGTTAGAAAAGGTGTGCTGGGAAGCACAAGGTTGGTGGTTCGAGTCCAGGCTGTCTCATGTTCCATGTTGAAGTGTCCCTGAGCAAGACACCTAACCCCTAATTGCTCCCCGGGCAAAAATGTGAAAAAAGCCATGGGTTTAAAGTGTAATGTAAGTCGCTTTGGATAAAAGCGTCTGCTAAATGACCTGTAATGTAATAATGTAATGTAATCAATAAGGTACGAGAGTACTTTATCTTATAATGTAAGTTTCGAGGGTTGTTGGAGCTCTGCTGCACGTCGGGCCAAACAACACCCCCAAACTGTTACATTATTGAAGATAAAGTACTGCCTCTCGTACCTTATTGCTTTTATAATACAATTTATACTTTCACTAGTAACCGTAATAGCTGCCTTTCAGCAACAAAAATAGTATTAGCCACCAACGTTGTGCATCTCAATTCAGTAGTCTGTTTTGCAGCCAAAGATTCTAGTTTCATAAGCAAAACTAACAAATATTTGATGTAAACTAATATATATATATATATATATATATATATATATATATATATATATATACATAAACTAAAAATGTATTTTCAGTTTATATACTTGATTTTTTGAAGTGATTTCATCTCAATGCATAATAAAGACAAATATACCTCCATACTTTATCTTCCAACTATTTAATTATATAAATGAAGATTAAGAGTTTTGAGTATGACTTGTGGGTCAATTGTGTATCGTGCTTGCAAGTATTCTTTAAGAAATGTGCTGTTTAATGATTTTACACCGTTAAGGGGGGGTGTCAACTGGACCCTTTTATGTTTACCCATTCAAAAAACAACCACACTAATCAACTGAACGTTGACTTCAAATGGAACATAGGAACCGAGCCGTTGATGCACACTAGAAGCTGCTGTAGGTGAAGGGCTTTGTCTGGTTATCGTTCGTCGTGCCACAGCTGGAAGCAGTTCTTTGTGTTGGAAAAGCAGAGGGGAACCTCACACCTCCTGCAGTAAGTGGATGCCTTCGCCCTCGGCATTCCAGCATCGCTGCACCTTTTGCAATGCTTCCTCACCCTCTTTATTGTGTTGTCATAAAACCACAAAGTGGAAAAAAAGGTCTTGTACCATTTCATAGTCCTGTGGCTCACGCTGTAAGTTCCAATAAGTCCGTTGGACATGTCCACACCACCCACGCTACAATTGTAGTCCACAAACAGGTCCGGCGCTGGTATGAACTTGTTTTTCCACAAATGCATGTGAACAAAAAAAGCAAAACACCAAATTTGACACCAATAGTTCAGTAAATATGAAATCCGCAAGGCAATGCGTACCTTTCCGATGACCGAGGACAGTTACCAGAGTCACTTGTGTCCTGTGGGTTGTTAAATGGATGCAGTAGATCCTCTTCATCTGGCGAGGAATCCAGGAGATCCAATACTTCCTCACGAGTGCAAAATGTCTGCAAATGCCAACGAAGCAGGGAAGTTACTCACGATAAGATGTGGCTGTGCGTAATGCGTCCGAGTGCGAACTGCAAACCGTAAATTCCGGACTATATTGCGCACCTATAAAAAGGCCGCACCTGCTAATTTTTAAAAGAAAAAGGAAATTGTACATAAATAATCCACACTTGTCTATAAGCCGCAGGTGTCCCTGTTGAAACATGAGATATTAACGCGGCAAGATGTTACAGGAAATATTTTTTAAAACTTTTAATACTAAACTAGTCATTGAAATAACATTTCCCTCATTCTACAGTGGTGGAGTGTACCAAACGGAAAATGAAATACTTTTAGGATGAGCGTACCTCTTCTCCTCGCGGTGCTCATAGTAGCTGCAGCTCCTGCTCTCCTCGTATGGTCTCTCGTGGCCGTGCTGTCCATTTCTATCAGCTTCCACTTTGATTTCTTGACCCTGGCATTCGCCATGTTGTTCGTCCTGACGGTCCAGCTCATGAATATCTGGTTGTGTGTCCTCATCGGCCCAAGAGTCATCTTCAATTTTGACCTCCACTTCTAAAATGATAAAAGTACAATGACAGTGAGCTACTGCTGGGCAATATATGGATCATCTATTAATACTTGCATTTGAGAGTAGATATCATCCTAGATCTTGGAAATTGCAATATGGCTTGAGTGTGTTATTTCCTGGTTTCAAAAGCGATACTACAGAAAGGGGATTTGTGACTTTACCAGCTTGTTCTAACTTTATAAAGTTATAAAGGCCTGGTGTTTTTTTAATGCATGTTGTGAAGCACGACCTGGAGCGTCAGCCTCCAGTGCGGCTATCAGCCTCTCCACCAGGTCAGGCTTCCGGCCTCTGGTGTCCAGGCCGCGGCGCTGGAGCTCCTCTCTCAGTTCGTAGACTTTCATTTTACTCACGTCAGCACCCATTATGCCTCAGATGTTTGTTGTCTTAACATTTTTGCAAGAGAAAAAAGTTGAATACAAACAATGGTAAAGTACCGTTACAATATTTTTCTGCCATTTTGTCTCGTTGTCCATTGTCCCACTGTCCAATGTTAGGCACCAACCGCCATGTCAAATTCCTTGTGCGTCTAACATATTTTGGCAATAAATGTTCTTGATTCCGGATTGAACTTTTAAATTGATGGGTGGCGCCATTGTTTCAGTCAATCAGGCTAGCATTACATTAGCAGGTTAGCAGCAATAGTTTGGAACTATCTTGCTGGTTTCACTAACACCTGGTAAACAAGTTAATTTATGTTTTTAAAAGGAGCAAAATATAAATGTACTAGCAAGGGGCAGGTGATTGGAAACAGGAGAAAACAATCAGAGACTCTGCGGTCAATCATAGGGGATAAGACAACAAGGCAGGAAGTGAAGCAAACCCAGATACAACAAGAGGCAGGAAAATACAAAATGAAACAGGAGACAACCCCACACCAGCATTAGAGAATTCCAACAGCTCTTATCATGGCAGCTACTTACACTACTTCCGGGTCATTTCACTCAGCTAGGAACCTTCCTAAGGAAATTTGACGATTTGAATCCAACCCATGTAAGTAACCATTTGCATAACTCGTAGTATGGAAAAAAGTGGAATGGAAAAAGAACTCTGCTGACAGTTGGTTATCAAAAAACCAAGAAATATAGAGAAAAATATTTTAAGAACAAAACAAAAATATTACCAATTAAGAGTGAAAGCTCACAAAATTCTGTACTGGCAGCTGAGAACAGAAGAAAGCTCAAGGACCACTAATGCAATCTAAACAGAAACTGGTTCAACTACCTACAACCCAACGGAAATTAATGACACATTCAAACAATCTGATATTAACCAGAGCATCTGGCTAAGATTGCTGAATGAAGTCTTCTTGGCTATTGAACAACTTGCTGAAGCAATTAAGACAGGACCCAGAGTTAAAAGTCAAAAGTCCAATCTGGCTGTAGCATTACGGTCATTCGAATCTATTGATGTAATGGTAGTCATGTTGGATATTTTGTGTTCATTGAGTATTTTTTTTTTTCACCTCAATTCAAGTATTCATGTCAGTATTTTTTCAGTGTGCACTGCTTGTAGTGCTAAAAAAAAACAAAAAAACTTAAAAGACAGCATACCATTTTATTTTCAAACCATCCTCTTTGCATTTGCCATGAATCATAAAAGACATTTACAATTGAATTATGACATGAGTATAGTTTTCCGGGAATCTTCAGAGATGGACACATATGATCAAATGTGACCGGTTTGTTTGATATGGTTCTCCATGTTTGGCCCTCAATCAAGCACACAAAGCTGTTGTAAAATATATTAACTTCAATATGCCATTCAATTTGATGGTAAATCATTATATACAGTCAAATGTATTATGAACATGCAAGATAAACCTTAGAAATACACTATGAATATCATAGCAATCCCCCTTTACAATCGTTGCTGAAAATATGAGCCAACGACAGCATCCAAAACCCCAGAGCACTGATTTGTTGTACAAATCACCGGTTTCAGGCAACTTCATGTTGGGCCTTTACAGTACTATGTGTGTGAACGCTTTTTCTTTCAGACACACAGACCAACAGACAGGGCTTATTTCATCACTTTTTGGTGGGAGCAGGCAAGGACAGCAGTAGCCTATTTATCTCTCTCAACTGAGCATCTAGAGTCTCTGTGGTAAGTGCTAGTTCTCCTATTTGAGTCTGTAGGCTTGTGATGGTCTCGTTCTGCTCCTCTTCTTTGCGGCGAGAGTTAGCGGCCTGCCTGCTGTACTCCAGAACCATACATCCACCACCAATAATAAAGATGATTGCCTCTCCCAGCAACTCGGCACCCAGCTCTCCAGCAGCGTCCTCATTCAGGGGCTTGATGGTGGAGCCCCGAAAGCCCATGATCCGCATCTTTGTTCTCATCTCAATCCAGTGGTAAACTGCAAGGACAGAGCATACACGGTTCCAGTTAGGCTTTTAAATTTGATCTTTGGGTGTTTCTCACGTTTGCTTTTTTTTATCTCAGAAGGCCACAGTTTACTACAGTTGGCTGCTGTTGATTCAAATAAGTCAACATTTTTCTGGCTGCACCTGAGGCCAAACCCATAACAACCACCTGCAGCTGGGAACCAACACAAGACAGGATGAGATAAAACACAGATAGGATCTGATATGATATGATCGAGCTTTAATGATCTCCTGCTGAGCGATTTGGCTGCTGTGACAGCAGAAGAAAAGCAATATGGATAAATAGAGAAAGTAAATAACTAGTAAGATGTGTATACCACCAACAAAAGGAACATAGGGGCATTGGAGCGATTATGCTAAAGTTAACGCCAACATAATATTGTTTGGTATACACTGGCCAATTATGTTACAGTTAAAAGGTGAAAGGTAGTAACATTGCATATCATAATAGTACAATACAGCAACACAGTGTAGTTTCTCTCCGTTTCATTTGGTTGGAATAGTTTAATTGTTCTGCCAATAAATGGTGACCGCTTAGAGCTACCTCCGCTTCGGTCAGTGTTTGGGGCACATGTTTTCCAATAATGACATGACAATATTTGGGGCAATTCTTTAAGTAAATCTAAATAGTCGAAGGTGATTAAAATGGGAGGTCAAACTTTGTTTAAAATATTGTCAAAAGGTATTCAGACTGCTATCCTGTACTGACGAAAACTAAAGGCTACATACTACCTCAATGACACACAAAACCCGCCCTCTTCCAGCATGCCTGGCTGCCATTGGTCGACCAGGTAAACCCGTGAAGGTGATTGGATAAGTGATGTCGACGAACGCATTCTCATTGGGTGTAGCCGCTCCTGGCTTATCCCTCGGGTTTTTGACACCGCGATCTAGCGGTCATAGCTAGCCGTTAGCTCGGTTACTCACTCTGTGCGGGCGGAAGACACACGTAAGTCCTAAAAAACTCGCTTCTACGGGCTCCTGCCTTTATTCGGTTCGCCACAGGCTTGCTCATCTGCCTCACTCCGAGGTAGAGGAGCTTGGCGATCGGGAAGGCACCGACAACCATCTTGGCGGAAATGCTTGACGAGCGTGCGGCGGATCACGTACCGGTGACGCGATCACGTTATAATTGTGACCCACAAGACCACGTGTTCATGACGTTGGCAGTGTTCGCAAAAGGCAACTTTAAATATATGACTTTATACAAACAAATAGCGTATACAACAAAATACCATATCTTAGTAATCTTCATTTAATTTTCTTCTATAAAGATACTTTTTTATTCCTTAACCCGTATGTGCTCTCCCGTATGTGTGCAAGTAACGAGGCTAATGATTTATGAATTGATTCTCACTTCAAATAGAGTGAACCTCTACAATGTCTAGAATAGGCTACTTAACTAACTTAGACAGTGACGTTTTATTGGAAGTAATCCATTTGCATTTAGTCACCATCAGTGATGTGGGATCTGCACCTTAATATTGGGTAACGCTTCACCTTTGTCCAATGTTGACACAACCAGCATTGATAAGAATTGAATGACCTATTGATGATTTCCTTTCATGATCTTATATATGTATATATTATAATGTGGCATTAATGTATGTATGTATGCAATTTACGGTAGAAACCCCAATAAAACGTGTATTTTGTCATCCAAGGTGAATATCTTTAATTTTTGTCATAGAAATTAAGGCAGTATACAACATGGGATAAATATGACAAGACGAAATAAGATTAGTTCTGCAGAATCAACAAGATGAAGCAAATATCCGACCGATATAAATATATAAACACTGACCATTGTTTATATCTTAACCTTTATGAGTAGCCTTCTTGCGTGTCTATATACAAAAGGAGGGGTTATACAGCTGTTATAACAGATGTGCCTGTCTCTTTGTTAAAGACGACAATAAAAAGCGAGTCAGCCGAAACGCACAGCCATGCGTTCACCTGGGCCAGCTGTGTTCCAGGTGTTACAGCAGCGGAGAGCGAGCCAGAGGGGGGGCCGGACTCCAGATCGCCCAAATCGCTCCCGTAAGTTACGCAGCAATGACTACGTGTCTGGAGCAACCGCCGCAAGACAGCAACACATTCTGCGCGACCCGACGACTTCCCCAGGAAGACGGGAAGGCTCCGCTTCCTCCTCGAGCACAACTGCAACGCGACTCGCTTGTTTGAGGTGAGGACGTTAAATTATCTCCGCGGGGGAAAAAAAGGCTTTGCGGTGAAGACAAAGTTCTGTTATCAGATTGCGTCGTTGTTGGGTGCGTCATTTGTGCGTCATTATAGGTATACCGAAGTTCAGCCCCGGAGTAACGCCCCCCCCCCCCTCCTCCCTCCCCTCCCTCCGGTTGAAAGTCTCTCTCCATACTTTTCTCTTTGCTTGTGAGGGTTCTTGGAGGCGAGGAGGAGCTTGTTCTCACACTAATGAAAATCAGATGTTGCCATCTTTGCCTTTCCTCGCTCAAAGGCAAAGCGTCCGGGCAGCAGCCGGCTGCAGAGGACCACATCAGGCCAGGCACACGGCCGGGACAGCCGGGGTCACCGTCTACAGGCAGGGCCGGGCACGAATCAAGTAAGACACGCGGAATTTATGGGAACATGCCAGTGTAGTCAAATACAACTATTCCCGTAGTCCGCTTACTTTGTTCCCGTGCACTTAAACGCAGCCGCTATGCTGCAGGGAACGTATTTACTTCTCTCTCCTGGAACTTGAAACTGTTGTGTTCAGTTTGCGCCAAACCTAAAATGAGAAAACAAAGGAGTACAAACCGAAATAAGGTGTTTCGTCCAAGTGTCTCGCATGATTATCGTGTTAGTTGAATGAAGGATCCGTCACTTCAGTGCCACTTTCCTTTCTGTCCTCTCCACATTGTTGCATCAGCGTTGTTATATCACTGCTTTTCATTTGTCAAATACTGAGATGGAATACCCAGACATAGCTTTTACCATTAGGTACTTTCACATTAACTAGAGAAGTAGAAAGCATGCTATATTGTCATATATATTGTTATTGATGTATGAAATGACCTATATGGAGCCAAATTGCTGCCATAGGGAATATGGGGTTTTACTTACTAGTGATTTGTTAGGATTGTTATTAGATCAAACTTTTTTTTATGCTCCATTATTATGTATTATTAATCACGGATGATCACCATATTGTATCGTAGGTCAGTAGTATTCATGGCTTTTTGAAAGCTAACTATTAAACCACTTTTTGAGAGACTCTAATGCGACATTTGAGTATTTGCTCAACTGGCTGTTTTTTGGGAACGTTAACCAGGCCGTCCTGTCGGAGCAGGATTCAAATGGCATGGGGCCAAAATGTGTTGTCCCCCCTCGGGGTCCTCCGTCCCAAACCAGACGGGCCGCATTGTCCGCTATAACCCTGCCGCCTACAAAAGTAAAAAACTGTTACTGTTCCCAGTTATCTGACTGACTCACAAGTGGTTGAATGGCCTTATTCACTCTTTTGTGCACTTTACACCTCAGCATTAACATGACACACTAAAGGCGTTAGACGAGCGTGTAACCTGTGAAAAATGTCTGTTATGTTGTGTTGCATTGAGAGATTCTTGAGTCACATGCTGCAGAGATATTTATTTTGGTCTGTGCATGAATGTATGCTCGTGTGCCCTGCAGAGATTGATTGCTTACCTTTAGCTTAAGTTTGAGAAGATCAATATAGCTGCATTGTGAAAGGGCGCTTGTCTTTGCTAATGACTTAAGCTGCCGTGTATTGAATATGCCATGAATGCTTGTTAGTGCTTTTGTGTAGACAGAAAGTAATGATTAACTAGTTCACAGATGCGGCTGTAATAGAAATAAATACTTTGGATGGAGTCTCTGAGAATCTCGTAGTCATTGGAATATGGTAATAGATTATGTGATTAATCTGTGAGTCATTTATGGGTTTAAATGGAACTGGAAGGCGGGTGCCATTGGAGAGGAAAAAAACTCGACAACGCTGATTCAGTTTGGTCATATTGTTTTACGTGAGGGGATTTACTTGGATACAATCTTTTTTTGGAAACTCTTTTTGTGGTTGTACAAAAACGTCAACTCCACTATGAACCAAAGTCATAGTTTATTAATGTATTACGCAATAACTACACAATTCCTCCCACGTATTTGTTCCATTAGCCTCCAGCTTCCGTCAGAGACGTCAGCCCACGATTTTAAACAATACACACAGCTCGTGTTGCACCGCGCATCACTTTTCATCTTATCTTGGACGTTGAAGCAAGACAATTCAGACAGATGACATTCCGGATATGTCAAATCAAGCTACTGCGAGAAATTATGAAAGCTTGTGGTATAAAGAAAGAAAAATGTAGCGTGTATCTTAATCAGCAGGTTTATTCTTCTCATAATTTAGTAATTGTTGTCTGCATGAGCCAGATTGGGCTTGTGGGACAACATAGCGATGGGACATGAAAAACCAGCCACAAAGGGGAGTGTTTTGTTGTGCCAAAGAATTTCTCTTTTGATTCTTCAGTCTCCGCCATGTTCCCTGCCAACGGTGCATCGTGTACAGAGACCAAGCTAGAAAGACCTGAAGGAAGGACGTGAAGGAAGAACCAACCCGGGGGGGGGGGGGGGGGGACCAAATGGAGCCCGAGATGAAAACATGGGGCCCAGCTTTATAAAGAATCTCGGTTTAGATGATCTATCTGGAATTGCCAGTGAAAGACTACAAAGTGAAAGAGGGAGGACTTGGCCAGACACACCTTTACATTCTGCAAAGCTACTGCTCATTGTGTTCAAACCTTTAATCTCCCCGCTGCTTCCTCCGGGATCACTCTGCTTTCTTGAGCGTCCAAAGTCATTGAATTGTTTTCCCAAATCTTTGAGGCTTAGTTGGCAGAGACAGCCAGTAGGTTTGCTACTCCTCCGTGGTTTCATCTTGGCTTTACCAGTCGAGCGAGCTAATTATTATGTTAAAATGGTAGAGCCAGCTAGTAATCATAGAACTGGAAAGGACATAAAGTGCATTGGAAGTGCTCCAGGAAACTTCTCCTAAGAATCCAGCGAAAGCGTAGCAGCAGATCCAAAAGCCACAAACTGTCGGTTCGCTTTACATTTCTAAATGATTGACGGTTCTGTGCCTCAATACTTGAAGACAAACACCGCCTTTCCTCTGCAAGTGCGCTTTAAGGTGGAACAGCTGTCTGATTTGATACTTTAAGTAAGCGCATGTATTCTACAAACGTATTTGTTTACTATATGCTTCTCCTTTTGAAACCTTCATGTTACAGACTACGGCCAATGCTGTTAGTTAGTTTACCTGCAAATGATTTGCATGGTTATAGAATATTACCATGCAAATCAGGCAATACTAAATGATGTGATGGGAGGATTAAAAGGTCAAAGTCCGAAGGGAAGTTGGGTAATTCTGTTGGTTTCGTCTATTATCCTGTGAATTAACCTTTTAAAATGCATCACAACTTAAAAAAACGATTCTTTCACCTCTTGTCAATAAGAAATATTTTTTTATTGGCTTACTTACTTAAGACACATTTAGAGCGGAATAATACTCGAGTAAATACTCGATGACAGAACAGAATACTACAAACAGTATTTCAGATCGCTCATCGATGCCAAAATACTAACAACATCTTTATTGAGGTATAGAATACTTGAAAGAACATTGATAAAGCTGTTAGTCAAACTCATCCTAAACCTCTTTTTTTCACAGACAGGATCAGCCAGTTTTGGGAGTCTATGACTATCTGGGTATATCACACAATTTAAGAGGCGCAGGATTACTGCCACAATACTCCCAGTGTGTTATTCACATGATGTCAACCTTTCTTTAAAAATACTACTGCCCTCGCCCTTACTGGTATATTACAGTATATTACAACATCAGTAGGTGGGGGGAAAATGTGTGCGCAGGAAGCGTAGAGCTCAGTAAGTGTTCACCCTGACCTTTGTGAGCCAGAGAGAGTGTAATCTCTTTGTGAGTTGGTTGCCCTCGACAGAGACGTGTGTGTGTGTGTGTGTGTGTGTGTGTGTGTGTGTGTGTGGTAGGTGACTGCCTCACAGGGAGGAGTGCTGAGGAATGTGAGCCTGTGTGACCAGGCCTGACTCCAGCATACAGCACAGCGCAGAGTCTGAAGAACAGCTATTATCTGGCTGCGCTGTAAGCTTCAATTTGCCGACCTCTCGTGACACGTGCTCCCCTCCCGGGCCCGGCTTGTGCCCAACTGGTGTTGACTGGTCATCAAGAGGTTTTTTACCAGTGCATCGTTTTCAGGCAACAAATGTCCTCCCCCTCATTATTATTATTATCAAGATTTTAAAAAAGAGTCTCCAGCTTTGTTTTATTTTATTTTTTTATTTTCCCAAAGTAATCAATTGAAATCACTCTGTTTGTCACGTACATATTCAAATCAAACTGGGGGACATTTATAGAAAATGTACCAAAATAGGTCCCAGCAATGTTGAGAGGTCAAACAGCAGGCTGAGCACTTGAATCGTCAGTGACGGTGGATTCCTGGTATTTCACAGGCTGATGTGTCGGACTCTGTCTGTCTGTGCGTGCACGGCCATCAGTAGTTAAATAGGCTTGTAGATCAGGGACTCAGGGAAGTGTGTGAGGAAGGATATTTGTATATCCCCGATATGCACATATTTAGTATCTAACATCCTTAGGATGTTGTACATAATAGACTTCAGAACTTACTTACTTACTTACTTAAAAACTCCCACAATATTGAGGCTTTACAGTACTGAGACAAGAAAAGTGGTTTTATATTGTGTTATGTTGTGTTTTAAATGCATAAAGAAGATGCCATGGGCTAGTTAGCTTTCCCTATTTTATTCTGATTCTCATTCTTACTGAAAGGCTGATAACTTATTTTCCCCAAAACATTTCTTTTTCTCAACAATAATAGTGTATTATTAGGCAGAAAATACATTCAGAAATATTTGATAACAAAAAATAATTTTCCCCTCCAGATATTTTAATTCATTTTTAGACATGCAGTGATTTTTTGGCATCAACACATTGTTTGAACAACCTTTTCAACCCATTGAGGACTAATTGACCTGTTGGCAGACACAGTGGTTTGGATTATTTGTATAATGTGTCATCCGCTTGACTGTCAATGCACTGCACCTGTCTTGTCTCAAACTGTCTTTCAAACAGACCAGTCATGTCTTAGTCAAGCAGGAACACCTGGTATCACATATAAGTCAGCAGAGCAGCCAATCAATCATAAAGTTGCACTGCAGTTTCACTGAGATGAGGGCCTCAAAGTTTCCGGATGTGACTCGCTGGTACAATCGTATCTGCACATTTGCAAACAAACAAGTTCAAACATGAAGGGGGTTCTGGTTTTGCATATGAAGGAAGTGTTGTTAGAAAGCCCGAAGGGGGCGAGACAGCTCGCAGCCTGCAGCGGGAGAGAAAAGGGAGAATAAAACACTCCATGGAGTTTTTATTCCGGCGCCACACAAACTTTATTGCACATCCTGACGTCGATGCTGCGGATCGTGAAAACTTCCGTTGAAGGTGTTGTGAAACTCACCCCCCCTCTCCCCTAACAGGTGTGGTGTGTCTCCTTTTTTCAGGAACGCCGCCACCTAGGAGCCATGAGTTCTCAGGCGAGCTTCGGCAGCAGCATGCTGTGTGAGTCCCCACAGGCCGTTGGCTTGTTTTTCTTACGGTCCGGTGTAACTGTGTGCTCGTCGAGGTGACATGCTATGCTCACCGCTGCTTTGGTGATGTGTGTCCAGTCCAGACTATAACTGACGATCTGAGTGCGTCGCTGGCCGAAGCGGATGAGTTATCCAGAGAGTTCAACTCCATGCTGAAGGAGGCCTCTCCCAGCAGCAACAACAACAACGCAACGTCTCAGGTACACGCGGACACACGCCTACCGCCTCCACCACCGGTTTCCTCCTCAGTGAGAGGTCATAGCATACCAGTGCATTTTGTCTAATGAATGTGCCTCTGAGGTTTTTCCATCTGTATTATAAGTTGTATCTACAGCTGCAGTAGATTCAGCTATATCTACGCTTTTTAGTTTCAGATGAAACAATACTTATGTTGTTGGTAGTCAAAAACAACATATGCCACGTGCCGTCGTGGTCACTGACAGACTTTAAAAAGAATTAGTTGAATGACTCAAATAAGGGTTTTTCATATCTTCAATAAAGTGGAACAATGTGCACATGTTGCTACCCAGCTCAGTGCATCATTTCTTTAAATATTTATTGGTAACACTTGTATTTTCCCTTCAGACCAGGCCCGCCGCCTTCATAGCGGCGCCTCAGTCCATTAGCTCCATCACTACGACGGAGACGAGAGGCAGCAGTAATGGCAGCTCTAGGCCTCTCTCCACGAGCTCCACGGCGTTCCACCCCGTGGACTCCGTCTTCTCCAGCAACAACAAAGCCCCGTCGTTGCCCCCCTCCGGCTTCCCCAGTAGCTCGCTCTCATCCCCGAAGATCCAGAGGGTATCGCACTCTCCTCTCCCCCGAGCCCGACCTGACAGCTACTCGTACGACCAGCAGAGCCCCAAACATTCACCTCACACCCCGAGGCGCAATTCCCCCTCAACATATGACAGGAGCCCACAGGGCTCAGCGTCTTACGGCGAAAGAAGCCCCTCTCAGAGCCCCACGACCCTCCAAGCCTCTTCCAACCTGCTGAGCCTTTACGACAGCAGCCAGGGGGGCCGCAGGTCGCCGCGCCCGGACAGGGCTCGCTCTCCATTGTCCTTCAATCTCCCCATGTCCAGCACCATGCCTCGAAATGCTGCTGCTTACAGGAAACCCGGTAAGTGTCTGTAGTTATAGACGGAAGTTCTAAATCCATCAGAGATCTGGGATTATTAGGGTATTAGATTAAATATATTTCCATGGTTTTCATTTTGAGGTAACATCATATGTATGCTGTGAAAGTGAAGGACATGAACTGGTCTTGGTAAAGTTTGCTGGCACTAATCAGTCAACATGATGGGAACGCACCAGTCAAAACCAGAAATGAATGAACTCTCAGTTTTGTTCTTTTCTAATATGGTGATAAATCAGGTTTTATAGATTGGTGTGAGAAGTTAGGATGAGCAGTACCACAGAAGAAGAACATCATAAATAACTCACACTGTTGATGATGATGAACTTGGTTTGGTGTGAAGCTCTGGAAGCTGACAGAACAAACGTTTCCAACGGGCCTAAGAGATAACTTTATGGTATTTTAAGCTTCGCTAAAGAAAACCCACCTCTACCCGCCCAAAATAATTTCATCATTCTAGGTGTAGTATCACATTCCTCTTTTTGGGATTAAAAAAACTGTCCTTCAAAGTACAGCTGAAGCTTCATGGTGCAAATCTCTCCCTCCTTCTAGCACTCCGATTCTTTTGTTACTCTCTCTCTCTTATTTTCTATTTTAATCTCTCTCTCTCTCTCTCTCTCTCTCTCTCTCTCTCTCTCTCTCTGCCAGAGGAGGGTGTGCAGCAGCAAAAGAGCTCTGGCAAGTGGAATGAGACAGATCTGGACGTGTCCTTCGAGAAGAAGCCGCACCACACCTATGACAGTTAGTTAATTCCTACTACCTTCCTTTAGGGCTGGGCAATTAATTCCAAATTATTATTATAGGTCTTCTTGGTGATGAAATCATGTATGGAGATGTTGTAATATACACTGAATTGATTGAGAATTGTGGTATTCTAGTACTAGTACTAGATTTTGGCCATGTTGCTAATTTCCTCAACTTCTGCTTTGTATTTAAAGGCGTGGAATAAGTCTAGGGGGAAAACCATTCAAGTCCAATACGAGTGGAACAGCAGCAATGAGCCTGACCAGTACGTGGTCTCTGTTAACTCAACACTTTCCTGTTACAGAGACAGAGAGGCTCCGGTCGTCTGTGTCAAGCAGCAGTTGGAGAGAATCCAACCTTGATGGCCCTCCTCCTGCTCCAAGCCCCAAAAAGGTGGGTGGTGTTAACAGAGGCGTTTGAATAGGTACATTCCCTCCGGTTACATTACATTACATGTCATTTAGCTGACGCTTTTATCTTTAAGTGGATTTCAACCATAAGTATACAAACACAAGTGCAATTTCATCAAATAATCCAATCTACAACTTGATATTGATAAGTGGCATTATAAGTACAATTTAAGTGCTACAATTTGTTAGTCTTTAGTGGAGGTAGAGTCTGAAGAGGTGTGTCTTTAGTTTGCGGCGGAAGATGTGAAGGCTCTCTGCGGTCCTGATGTCTTCAGAGAGCTCGTTCCACCATTTCGGAGCAAAGAGTCGTGATCTAGTCGAGTGTTTTGCTCTCAGTGAGGGAGGGACAAGCAGTTTTGCAGAGCGGAGAGTGCGGGTCGGGGAGTAGGGTTTGACCATGTCCTGGATGTAAGCTGGACCCGATCCATTCACAGCATGGTACGTGAGCACCAATGTATTGAACTGGATAGAACAGCCACCGGTAGCCAGTGAAGAGAGCGGAGGAGTGTGGGAGAATTTCAGAAGGTCAAAGACCAGTCGAGCTGCTGCATTCTGAATGAGCTGCAGAGGTCGAATGCAGTAGTCCAGACGGGAGATGACAAGAGCCTGAATCAGGACCTGCGCTTCCTTCTGAGTGAGAAGGGGACGTATTCTCCTGATGTTGTAGAGCGTGTATCTACAGGATTGCGTTGCCGCGGTGATGTTGGGAGTCAGGGAGAGTTGGCTGTCGAGTGTCACGCCGAGGTTCTTAGCTTTAACACGTAGTCGTTAACAGTCAGGTTCTGTGAGAGAATCTTTTCCCGGAAAGAGAAGTAGTTCAGTCCTGTCGGGGTTGATTTTCAGATGGTGAGCGGACTGTTCTTGTTCTTGTGAGTTATTGTAAAACCACAAGTATTCACATAATGGGAGTAACTGACAGTGACAGATTGATGTGGGCTGAGATGGGTTTCATAAGTCTTGTTAAATCAAAAACTCAAAATCATAGCATTTTTCCTTTTTTTTAAAGTTGCAATAGTCTATTTTTGCATCTTGCAACAACACCCAAGGAGCCCCAAAAGCTCCCTTGAGCTGCGTATCTACTGTATGTGATGATTACGCTAAGACTCATTGCATTGCACAGTCATCTGATTCAGTGCATTGGGATTAGTTGAGAATGTAACACTCTTTTCTTTCTCTTCCAGGATTCTCGTGCTCAATCTCTCGTCTATTCCCACACTTCCCTTCCCCGTAACGCGCGCATGAACGTGCCTCCAGATGTTTCGTCCCCACTCCATTCCCCCTACCACCCTCAGTCCGTCATCTCCCGCATTTCCGTCCCCCCGATGTCTACTCAGTCCCGTCAGGGCAGGGCCATCCCTCTCTCCGTCATCATGCGTCTCCAAAACCCCCACTGGGGAGCGATGTCAAGGCCCCAACCCAGAGCCCTTGGAATGGAAGGCGACATGGCCCCGTACCAACCACCTGTACCCTTTCCAAGGGAGTTCTTCCACCAACATGTGCCCCAGCCACTGCAACACCCGCCTGAGCTGAGACAGCCGGCCGTGTACAGTGACGGTACGACACATCCAACATCCGCACACACACCCTATGTGTTCACAGGGTCTTTGTTCGACTGACTTTCTTGACAAATGTGGTGTGTTGTCCGTACTTTTTGCAGCACTAAACTTCGCGGATATCGAAGCAGAATTGGAGCGGCTGGAATTTGTCCATAACATTCCCGTTATCTCTGAGAATCCCAGCATGCCAAAGGGTGGAAGGGAGGGCGCGCCCCCAGCTCCCCGGCCCCTCAGCCCCACCAGACTGCAGCCAGTGGTGGCCCCAGAGGCCCAGGGACAGGAGATTCCTCACCTGGAGGAGCTGCTCCGCATGAGGGCGGAGATCCCGCGGGCCCTGAAGAGACGTGGATCCGTGGACCAGTCACAGCCCCAGAAGAGGGCCTCCCACTATCAGCCCAACCAGTACAAGAATCTCATCGACAAGCTCTTTCGCAGGAAGAAGGGGGACAATGGTAGCGAGACGAGTAGCTCCTCAGAGGGAGAGGAAGCTGCTTTACCCCCTGCTCCTCTACCTGCACCCACAATGCATCCTGATTTTAAAGTAAGAAAAAGAAGAGGTCCTTTCACTCCACATTGTCAAAGTTTGACTTTATGCATGCAGGTGTCTTGTTTGTCCCGTTAGAGCTACCATTCCATCCTGAGGCGGTCCAAGCGGGATCACAAAAGTTCCGGGAGGCGAGCTCGACTCAGCCCGCTGATTCTGCTGCTGGATGGAGCGCTGGTCGGGGAACTGGAGACAGTGCAGAAGGCCGTGCAGGAGGTGTGTGCATGTATTAATATACCTCGTTGTACACAACAATTGCTATGGCGACTTCTGCTTTCCTACAGCTGCTACTATGTACAGTGCTACTTATCATAGCTACTAAAGCCATTGCACCAATAATTACTTACAAATATTAGTTGAGTAAACATGTAACGATGCAGAATGAAAAACATAATCTACATAGAATAGATTTAAAATAAATAGTTTGATTCATTCATTTAAACAAAGGCAATATTGCAGTTGGTTAAATTGTTTCCCACAGTTATCCCTTTTCTTGCATCGATACCTTTTGGAAAATCTATTGGATAAAAACTTTATCTGCACTGAGGTGGGAACATTTTATAAATCTGGTCCTGCTCTGGATTTACACTTAAAAGAAGCACACAAATATGTGCTATTTAACGGCAGAGCCGACATTCAACACATCTGTGCTGCTGCTTGTTCACACAGAAATACTTTTTTTCGGGAAGTTGCTCGTTTTGTTAAACAGCTTCCAGCTCCATTTTAGCATTTGGGGGGGGGGGGGGGGGGCAACGTGATCCTTTAACAGTAGTTCAGGAAGTAGAATAAAGTAGAGAGACAGAGAAAAATATAAAAACACAATCCTTAACACCCTCCTAATATGTCAGTGTAGGAATATTTGAGAGTATATTTGATACTCTTGTAATACACTTGATTACAGTTTAGCTGTCCTAATGTCTCCCAGATGAACGACCCTAGCCAGGCCAACGATGAGGGCATCACTGCCCTTCACAACGGCATCTGCGGCGGCCACTACAACGTGGTGGATTTCCTGGTTCGCATTGGAGCCAATGTCAGCTCGCCAGACAGCCACGGCTGGTAAACACCTGCTTATTCCTGATAAAAACAAACATCTCCTACTTCTGATACAAAATAAACTGTTTAAGAAGACAGATTTGTGGTTTTAAAATACTAGCAGTGAACATTTACTCCAGAACAAGTGTTTGTTTGTGTTAATTACATTTGACATACTGTTACTGAAGGAAGGGTTTAACAGCGTGACATATTTTCATGACAGTAATATGACTGAGTAATATGACAGTGATGGAGAAGTGATGTACTTCTCCATCAATCTCTTTCCTATTATGGATCCGTGTTACTCTGCACCTAAAGGGTTACTTGCTAAGTTTAAATTTTGCCAACCTGAGCGTTTTCTTACCAGTATTGTGGAGCACATCACGTGGCTCACAGCAATGGGACATTTTCCGAACATGCTCTTGTACTCCCACGTGCGTTAACCGCCAGTTCTCCGGCCCGCAGGACTCCGCTGCATTGCGCTGCTTCTTGTAACGACCGTCCCCTGTGTGAGTTCTTGGTGAGGAACGGAGCCGCTGTCATGGCCATGACGGAGAGCGACGGCGCCACCGCGTCCCAGAAGTGCGATCCTTACGCTGTAGGGTTTGAGGAGTGTGAGAGCTTCCTGAGGGGTGAGGCAGTTACACGTACACACACACACAGACACACACACACGCACACACAGTCTACGGCATCATTAAAGGCTGACAGTCCAACCGGGGCTCTGACCTTTGCTCTCATTTCCACTTAATGCGACAGGCTCCAGCTCAGGTGTCCTTCACACCTGTAAAAGTAGCTTCAGTGTACATTCATGACACAATATTCATATTCGAGGGAACTTAAAGGCAGCAGATATGTTTCCGTTGGCTCACACAAGCACACTGCAACGAGAAACATATCAAATTTTGGGAGGGACAGTTCTGTTCTAGTAGAACACTAGACACTACACCCTGTCTTTTTATTCACTGGCAGGTTTCTTTGGTGTAAGAAAATGATGCGGTAACGCAGATAAAAATTAAGCTACGATTTTGTCCATGTTCAAGACGTAAACATGTACACCCATGCATGCATTAACTCCAGGGGTGGAGGCGGCCATGGGGACGGACAGCAGCGGCGTGCTGTACGCTCTGTGGAGCTACCCGGCTCAGGCCGCCGACGAGCTGAGCTTCAAAGAGGGAGACATGGTCACCATCCTGCAGAAGCCCGAGGGGTCGGATTGGTGGTGGGCCTCGCTTTGTGGCAGGGAGGGCTTTGTTCCCAACAACTACTTTGGGGTAAGGTACTAATTTCCAGGCGAATGGTTGAACCACTTCTCCCTAACCTTCTGACTTCCTCAACATAATGCGGAATTTGTGTTGTTTTTTTGCAGCTTTTCCCAAAGGTTCGACCAAAGTCTCTCTGCTAAGTGGTCTCTTGCTAATGGTCAAAGCGGTTGCAGAAGACTGTGTCGAACGCAAAACTTCACACTGTTGTCTGACATGTGATCAGGTAAAGCCGGTGTTTCTGGGAAATGGTTTTGATCTGTCAGTCAAGGAGAGTTGAAGGGGTTTCTGTATTCTATTTTTTGCCTCACTGACAATGATGCATGTTTCTAGAAGACATGATTGATGCCGGCTCTGATATATATATAGTATATATAAATATATATATATATATGTGTCTTGTTACGTTAGATCTCTGTAGTGAGCTAAACCTCTTCTGTCCAGCTGTGGCGGTTGATCCAAAGGTTACAAAAGGTTCATATCACCTGCTGTGTTCCGGTCAGACGCTGACATTTGGGACTTGTTGGCTGGTTGGGAATCAAAAAGCAAACATTGGTTGTTGGTTGTTCAGCTGAGCAGCTGCATGCTGATTTCTCAATTTAGAAAAAAGCGGCTGCTCCCATCGGAGCAAAATCGATCTACTCCTCCTGGAGCAGAGTAGTGTGCCGCTAAACAAATGACATGTTTATTTTTCCTACAATGTTTTTCCTACAAAGTGCTTGTCCTCCCTGACTCCCCTAGTTAATCATCGCTCGCCTGGATGCCCTCCTCTCTGCGGCTCCTCACTTTAATAAATCATTCAGGCCTTCAGGACAACAAGTCCGTCAGCACGAGGGCCAAAAACTCCTCCTGTACATATCAGGGTTTCTGCAAATAGTTTTATCCGAGGGGTCCTAATAAAAACTGCACTCGGGATTTTATCGCATATTAGTGATGTTTTGATTTGTTTTTACCAATGTGGCTGCAGACTATACTAATGCAATCAGCCGCAGCAGGAACTTAACAGCGTTTTTTACTTATATATATATATATATACATATACACAATGTAGATCTGTCCTGCTGCTGATATGAATGAACATGCTTTTGGTTTCCAGTGAAATCGTCTGTTACAGTCGTGTGTCGGTGGCTTGGAATGAGAAATATGAAATGTCTCCTACTGACCAGCAGATGACACTGTACAATCATGTGGGAACTGAGCCCGTTAACATGTTTAGTGCTTCCAACGAATAAAACATAATATATAGTAAAGACACATGTATTGAGGCTGTTTTGTGCAGCATCAGACCTTGTTACATTAAACCTTGGTAATACTTTGTTCCTTCTTCTTTGAAGTTTTATTCTCATTTTGTTCCTCCCTCTTCTTTTACACCAGCGAGCACCCCGGCGACTCCTGTGATTCCTAATGAATCAATTAGCTGCATGATTATGCAAAAGGGGAATTACTCAAAAAAATGTCCACATGATTAATTTTTTTTAATTAAGTCTGACTCAGGCCTTTTGATCTGCACACTATCTGTACCCCAGTGGTATTAAGAAAACACAGCACAATCCCCGGGGAAGATTAGTGACAGCATTGTTTGAAGCTGTTCAATGTTTTTTTCAATTTGATGTAGATAATAAAAAACATGTAATGATGATGACATATACAAAGACACACATACACCCACACGCACGCGCGCACACACACGCACAATGTACTGTGTTGAGCTAACGCAGTGTTTCACATTTCCTGTGATGGTTTAAAGCGGACCGATTGGGGTGAAATAGACCTTGGCCTTGACTAGGAGGCCATGGAGAAAAGGAGCACAAGCCATGTTGAGTCTCATCTTTATTCATAAAACTAATAAAAAAATGATATTTATTCAACAGGGCAAATATGGAGGTGAGGCAATGTGACTTATACCACTAATTTAAATCAAATGGTTTCATGGAGAAAAAAATGGTTAAAAAGATAATGAGTCAGAATGAATATGGTTATTTGCATGAAGTGAAATAAATTTATTTATTTATTTTTTCACATTTTCTGTAAAGTATCACTTTTTTGTTTTAATGATGAAAGAAACAATAATCTGTGGTTATTTGATTTAGTGGTTCCCAACATGAGGGTCACAGGATAAATAAGGACAAAGATTACTAAAACATATTGCTGCTTCACAAATTACGCTAATCTTTGTAGATTTTTCTGTAATCTTTTATTGCAAAGAACTAATTTCCCCAGCTAAGCCTCTTAAAACTATTATAGTATAAACAAATGTGAATATAGTGGTGTAAATGACATGTAATGTGATGTAATAAACTGCATCCACGGCATAAGAGCAGTGAAGAGCGGCGGCAGTGACCTAACCGGTGGGGTCGCTCACATGCACTAACACGCAGTAAAGGTATTTCAGCAAAGAATGGAGACGCTCGGATTACAACACATGCAAAGGGAGAATGAATTCCTTCTCCGCCCAAGTGTACATAACCCCACCATAAGGGTTTGTGTTGCTATAGTAATGCCCTAAATGTCACATGTAATGCCTTTAAAACACATGTCTAATGCCTCCCACTACATGTTTCTATTTGAAATAAACGTTTAAACGCTGCCTCCCTCTGATAGCTATCAGAACTGAAATAGTCATCGCATTAGATTGCTTTGCATTGTGTGCAGGCGTTCCTTTTTTTCCGATCACTGAGTCTCAGACATCCTCGTGCTGGCAAAGCACAAATGCACATTTTCCTCAGGCCGCTCTCTGTTGCCCCCTTTGACAGCACTGCCTGCACGAGAGAAAGAATTGCAGCGGTGAAGAGTTCTATGCTGATCAGTGATTCTGTTCAGGCAGGACTCCTCTGATGCCTCATTGTGTGGATTTCTCAAACAGATTAGGTTTGGAGTTGAAGATCAATTTCTAACAGAATTCTTTAATGGTCATGAATCATGGGAAGGAAAGCACAGTTTACTGGACTTCAGAAGTTCTTCAAGCGAAGATCTAAAACCTTTTATAGCCTCCAATCACATATAAGTGTGATTCCGAACCACAAGGTCAGCTCCTTACATTCAGGGAATGGAGGCTGAACTCAGTTTTTGTCATACACCAGTACAACACAGATGGATGTAAAACCCACACAAATCCATATATTATGCTGCACAGGAAGAACGGACGAAGCTGCGTCTCCATTTTACACAAGAGCTCAACCTGACACACGTTCAAGTAGCTGAGGAGCGCGGTTACTTGCCCAGTCTGCGGCGTAGTTGAAAATTTTCATTCCTATCTTATTCTCATTCTCCTCAACCCGGCAACCCCACCTTCGCACATACACACTGGCATCTCAGCAATTGTGGCCATTATTGGAGCCAGCCTGGGGCAGAGGGGCTTTACAGGCGTGAGGTTCAGAACAGAGCCGGGCAGATAGACAGGAGGAGACAATGACACAGCAGGACGTCAAAGTTAAAAGAGGAGCAATAAAGAGGGTGATCGAGGGGATGGAAATACTTGTTCTGAGCAAACCTTGCAATTTTCAGTCTGATGGTATACCTGCCAGAAGAGCGCGAGGATAATCTATAAACCGCTCAACCGTGGTAAATGTGCTCCATTACACCTGCCCTAACTGACAGCGAGTGGAATCGGCCATTACAACCTGAAATCAGGAGTTAGGAGGAGAACACACAGTTCCTTTTCACAGTGAATACGCGGGTTAAATATACAAACAATTTAGCCTGGTTGTATCCACGCATGCAGATACTGTTGCAGACGTGACTGGAGGTTTACGATGCCTCTGACTTAAAATGGCAACCATTGGACCCACGAGTCATCAATGTTGTGTGTTTTTTGCTTTTTAAGTATTAAATAGAGTCCACTCTCAGTTATACTGAAGAGATTGCTTCATGTCATTGCTACAGTCCACCCAGACTGATGTATATTTCAGAGCATTGTATGTGACAGCCAGCAAAGTGCCTTGAAGGGAGATCCTGTGTGTGTGTGTGTGTGTGTGTGTGTGTGTGTGTGTGTGTGTGTGTGAGTGTGTGTGTGTGTGTAAGTGTGTGTGTGTATGTGGTTTTGTTGAGCGCGTGGGTCTGCATTTTTTGCATGCATGCCCTCTTCCTGCTCAGACACTGAGGAGGGCAGACAGATCCGTGGCCCTGCAGAAACAGAGCTTTACTGAGCGAGCTTTGCATCGGGGTGGCAAAAATAGAGAAGCAAAGCAAATTCCAAAAAATGTGCAGATGGGACCAGTCGACGAAAAAAAGTCACCTACACTTCAGTTTCTTACTGTCTTTCCCTACTATGGCTATTCTAGCCGTGCCCGCTCCTGTTCGGGGTAATGATCTTGTGGAGTAAAGAATAATAGAGGAGTGCTTGTCCTCCCTACGCTCCCCCTAGTTAATCAGCACTCGCCTGGCTGCCCTCCACTCTGCTGCTCCTCACTTAATAAATCATTCAGGGCTTTCAGGACAACAAGTCCCGTCAGAACAGGGGCCCGAAAACTACCTCTCCTCGATGCACCCTCCTTTCTCTTCGGCTTAAAAACCCAGAAACGCCTGGTGTTCTTTTGCCCCCCGCTCACTCTCCTTTCTGTTTTGGAGACAAAACAGATTGGCAAGACATCCCGCTCCCTTTCTCTCCCAACGCCTCTGTGTCCCTATCCCATGGGGAACCATTTCACTTAAGATCTCCCTCTGTCAGACTTCGACCCAATGGGTATAGTTTTCTTTCTTCAGCCCCCCCCCCCCCCCAACACCTCCGCTCTCTGTCTCCCTCTCTGTCTCTTACTGTGCCCTCCCTCCGTGTCTGACCAGAAATTCCTGCCAGGGGATGATGTCACATGGAATGTGTCCCCAATGGATGCTGCTGCATGGAGGACACATGCAAGAAAAACATGTATCTCCAGGGTGTGAAGGGTGCAAAGATCCCTGCAATGTTTAAATAAATAAGCACACATTTAATGATTCAAGGATTGATGTTGCTTTATTGGCACCATCGAGGTAACTTTAAGCAAAGCAATATAGGGAAATATTCCAATTCCTTCCATTTTTCGAATTCAGATTTCCAGGAGGTATTTTGTGCTGTGTTTTTTCTTTGCTTCAGCCACTGTTTCAATTATTGAAGGACTACATTACAATGAATGGATTTACTCCTCCCTTGCATGTAGTTTGTTGAAACCATAGCACTGAAAAACAAATCCTACGTTGAAAAACATAC